GCCTTAGCCGGTTGAGCCACAGGTGCCGAGCCACAACACAGACTTAATTTTAAGATAAATTCAATAACATTAAGGTACAAAATATAAAATAATTATATACAAGTTTCTGCATTATAATGTTTTAAAAGAAATTATCTTTTTTTCTTTTCTTTTTTTTTTTTTACATTTTCTTTTTTTAGAGACAGAGTCTCACTTTGTTGCCCTTGGTAGAGTGCTGTGGCATCACAGCTCATAGCAACATCCAGCTCTTGGGCTTAGGTGATTCTCTTGCCTTCAGCCTCCCGAGTAGCTGGGACTACAAGCACTCGCCACAACACCCGGCTATTTTATTGTTGCAGTTTAGCAGGGACCAGGTTTGAACCCACCACCCTCGGTATATGGGGCCGGTGCCCTACTCATTGCCATACGTGCTGCCCAAAAGAAATTATCTTATCAGAAAAAAACCTCATCTTGACATAGATTTTTGGCATAACCTTAAGGAATACTGTAAGAAAGACAAGATCCTCATCTCTACACAAATGACCCCACATCTCTAGTCTCAGCCCCAGCTTCTCTCCAAAGAGTCACATTCAAACACCCAACCTCTTAACAGACTCCCTGCCGGGATGTTCTTTAGCACCTCAATTTCAGTGCATCCAAAACCAAACTCACTGTCTTCTTTCCCAAACCCACTTTTTCTTCCAATAGAAACCCACAGACTCGCTTTTGACTCTTCAATCTATTCCCACCTGCTTTCCTATCTCTGAAAACTCTCTAAATCCAGTTTGATCCTTCCTGTTTGTACCTTCTTGGTACTACTTGCAGGAAGAATTTACACCAATCTCCCAGCTGCTCTTTCTCCAGACTCTATGCTGGCAGCCCACCTTCCAAGCTGCTTGCTTCTAGGATAAACTTGTCATTTCTTTGCTCAAAATCCTTCCAGCGACATCCAGTTTGCCAAGGAGGCACATTCACATGGAACTGAGGGCTCTCCACCATCTGCTCCAGCTTTCCAGCCACGTCACCTGTCTTTCCCCCAGCTGCTGTGTCCCAGAGAAGGGACAATTCCTCTCTCTGGAAAACCCAGGAAACATGTGCATGCCCCTGTGTCTTTGGTCTTGCTGCTCCCTTCACCCTGACAGCCGTATCTTTGGATAACTTTTGCATCATATCCCATGCAAACCATCTATCTCTCCATTATAGTATTTGACACAAGAACATGTATAACCAATACGTAAACTGACTTCCTCAGTGCCTTGAACATCAGAGAGCTCTATAAATGTACCTGAAACTACATATTATCTGCAATTAGTTTAAACTCCAACCTTAGTTTCATTTTTAGTCTATCTTAATTGGATACAATACTACATTCTACACTTATGAAAAGTATGGCATACTTACAAACTCTGAAAGTTTAGACGTTATTTGCATTGCCCCGAACTCTGGAGAGGGTGTCTAAATGACCAAAGATAGACTGGCCTAGGTTATAATAATGTCTCTTGCAAACGTGAGGTTTTAACCTTCCTTTGATAGCCTCTAAGTATGTCTAACTGCCACAATATTCCTTCCATTAACAAATGAATTATGGGGTGGTGCCTATGGCTCAAAGGAGTAGGGTGCTGGCCTCATATACCGGAGGTGGCGGGTTCAAACCTGACCCAGGCCAAAAAGTGCAAAAAAACCCAAATGAATTGTGACCATTGGTAGTGCTCTGACCACTACCTAAAAGCTCAGTTCGGGGCAGCATCTGTGGCTCAAAGGAGTTAGGCA